ACAACACAACACCAGCACACAGTCAGCGTCACACACCACCGGCTACAACAACAACACAACACAGTCAGCGTCACACACCACTTCACCAGTTAGCACACTGCCAAGTACAACACCGCAACACACAGTGTAACACCCGACTTCACCAGGCAACAACAGCGCCTCACGCTGTGAAAGGCAAAGCCGGTGGAACCGGGCCCCCCTCACCTCTCCGTTGTCCTTGTCCACACTGTGGGACTCGTCCAGGATCCTGTCCACCTCCACATAGTCGGGGTTGAAGGGCTCCTCGTCCTGCACACGGAGGGAGAGGAGAGACCAGGACAGAGGACAGAAGGACGGGGGGAGAGAGGGACGAGAGGGAGGTGAGATAAACCAGCCGGGAAGAACCGACTGAGACGCCCGGACCTTCGGGCACAGGAAGAGAAGAGACATCCAAAATAAATCGCTCCAACCCCCCCGCGCAACCCCCGGTTTCGTAGGTCTACGTCTGATCCTCAATCAGCAAAGACCGAGAAGGCAGGTGACGATAAATCCCACTTCAGAGAGCAACGGGGCTCGAATCGAGCTGTGACCGGGTCAAATCAAACACAAACAAATGAGACAGCGCCCCCTCCAGGATCAGGAGTGCATTACCACTAACACAAAGGACACCGCGCCGCCCTAGGGAAGGGACGTCTTCTCCAGGGATGGAGACACACATTTGAAAGCAAGCACAGCTGCACACTTTGTGACGTTGTCGGGATTTGAGATGCTTGACCACCACGCGGTTTGGAACACGGAGGGGAAAAATAAAAACCCGATCTGAAAGGAACTTGACACGGAGGCGTGACGGGGAGCCCGAGGCAGCTCACTCCCGCCCTCACTGACCTCCTGGAACAGGTGCCGCATCTGAGCCATCTTGGTCTTGAACCTCTTGAGCTTCTGGTGGATCCGCTTGTCCCTCTCCAGCTGCTCCATGGTGGCCCACTCACAGTGCAGGTACGAGCTGAGGTCCAGAGGCAGGTTTCCATTAGTGTCTCTGTGTGAGAAGCGTCTCTGGGGTCTGTATTAATCTGTGTGTGGGGTGTCTCTGGGGTCTGAATTAGGGCCTGTATTAATCTCTCTGTGTGTGGGGTGTCTCTGGGGTCTGTATTAGGGTCTGTATTAATCTCTGTGTGAGGAGTGTCTCTAGGGTCTGTATTAGGGTCTGTATTAATCTCTGTGTAAGGAGTGTCTCTAGGGTCTATATTAATCTCTGTGTTACTAAAGTGTATGCTAATCTCCAGATTAACACGTGCTCCATCATATGATGCTTAGTCCTGCTCATACTTACTAGTTCTTGTATTTCACAAAGAACTCCTCCACATTGACGTACTGACCAGGGGAGATCTGCAAAACAGAGAGGCCGGGAGCTTGAGCACACAGATTAAGACCCGACAGCTACTCAGCACACAGCCCCTGTGTCCATTCAACAACTCTCACAGCATGACGGTCCACAGCGGTCTTCAACCACCCACAGTCCCCCACGCCCACAG